TTTGTTACTTTTGGGCTCTCTTTTCCCTCAGAGGATCTCCTTTAATATTTCTTGCAGGGCTGTTTTAGTGTTTACAAATTCTTTCAGTTTTTGTTTTTCCTGGAAACTCTTTATCTCTTCTCCTATTCTGAATGACAGCCCTGCAGGATCAAGTATTCTTGGCTGCATATTTTTTCCCATTTAACATGTTGATTATGTCATGGCAGTCTTTTCTGGGCCTACCAGGTGGAAGGGTCTCCTGCCAGCCTTATGTGCTCTTGTAGGTTAAGGACCTCTTGTCCTGAGCTGCTTTCAGGATTTTCTCTTTATCTCTGAAATTTTAAGCTTTACTATATTATGTCAGGGTATTGACCTATTTTTATTGATTTTGTGGGGGGTTCTCTGTGCCTCCTGGACTTGAATGTCTGTTTCCTTCCCCAGAGTAGGGCAGGTCTGATCTATAATTTGTTCAAATAAACCTTCTTCCCCATCTCTCTCTTCATCTTCTGGGACCTCTATTACTAAAATTTCACTTTATGGTATTGCTGATTTTTTGAAGTCTCCCTTCGTGATCCAGTAGTAGTTTATCTCTCTTTTTCTCAGCTTCCTTATTTTCCATTATTTTATCTTCTATATTACCGACTCTGTCTTCTGCCTCATTTATCCTAGCTGTTAGAGCCTTCATGTTTGAGTGCATCTCAGTAATAGCATTTTTAATTTTGGCCTGATTAGATTTTAGTTCTTTTATTGCTACAGTAAGGGATTCTCTAGTGTCTTCTATGCTTTTTTCAAGCCCAGCTAGTATCTTTATAATTGTTTTGATTTCTAGTTCCGTCATCTTACTTATATCCATATTGATTAAATGCCTGGCAGAGAGTAGTACTGTCTGTTCTTTCTTTTGCAGTGGATTTCTCCTCCTAGTCATTGTATTTAGGAAAGTAGGGGGAAAGAGAAAAACAAAACAGCAAAAACAGCAATAATAACAACAAACCTCAGGAAGTTGTTTCTGCTGTATGCTGTGTACACTCTGCTGTTGTGTTTTGGCTGCTCTTTCCCACTGGTCCTTCCTCTACAGAGTTCCTCCTTGCTTGCAGTGGGGAATGTTTTGACCTTTAAGTACATGTGGTTTGATTTGTTTGTCGTTAAGCTTGTAAAGGAAAAAAGAAAGAGAAGAAAAAAAAAAGACAAAAGAAAACAAAGCCTGATCCAAAACAAGAGAAAGGGAAATGGAACAAAAGTGGATACAAACAGACAAACAATAAACTATAAGCCTGATTCTAGAAAATAAGAAGCAAGGAAGGAAAGAAGAGTTGGGAAAGAAGAAAAGAGAGAAAAAAAGTAGCCAGGTCCAAAAAATAAGAGAAGGAAACAGTCGAACCAACAACTGAAAAAAAAGATTATCAGCCTGATTCAAAAAAAGAGAAAAGGGAAAAAAATAATTAAAGGATGAAGAATAAAAAATAAGATATAGAAAAATACAAAATGAAAAAAAAGCTTAGTGGTGGCTGGGTAGCTTAGTCATTAAGCGTCTGCCTTCAGCTCAGGTCATGATCCCAGGGTCCTGGGATCGAGCCCCGCATCGGGCTCCCTGCTCGGCAGGAAGCCTGCTTCTCCCTCTGCAACTCCCCCTGCTTGTGTTCCCTCTCTGGCTATGTCTGTCTCTGTCAAAGCTGGAACCAGGTTATAGGCAGTCCACTCAGCTCTGTCCCCTACTCCCCTCTGTCCCAGAAAAGACTTTGCAGAGGCTTGAATCTGTTGTGGCTGACCGCAAAAACTACGGCCAGGTTAATTGCAATGTGCTCCAGTCTCTGCTTTCTGCTCAGTTCAGCTACAGAAAAGCAGCTACTCAGAGTGCACACAGAGGTTTAAGCCTGTTGTGGCTCACAGCAAAAAGTTGTTTAGAGGTTTTCTGCCCTCTCTATGTACCTGTGACCCTGCTGTTTGAGCACTGCTCAATGGTTCCAACTGAACTTTGGTCCTTGGAGAGGCAAAATACCTCTTCCAAATGCCCTCTGGAATGGGTGTGATCTCTCCCTGTGCAACCCAGGGGATCTGTGGCTTTTTAAAATAAATATAAGGACACTGTGGCTTATTGTGTGGTTCCTACGCACTGGGCTGTTTCCCACTTTCTCCCTCTTCCTGACGTAGCTCTGAGAAATGGGTTCTGTCCCCTTTGTGGCCTTGTGGCTTTCCTCTCCCCCAGTCCAGGGCTCTGAACCTTATATCTGCCCCATTCTATTGCTCCCAACTGTGCAGATTGTTTTCTTAATCCTCTGATAGTCCCAAAATACTTGAATGTTGATCTAGCTGTATTTGAAGGACATGGCAAGGTCAGGGTCCCCCTACTGCTTCACCATCTTAACTCCAACCCCCAAAGCCCGTTTTAGTAATTTTGTAACTAGTAACCTCCCTGGAATAAATTAAAGTATATATTCTTCAATATTATTTGTCAGTAGCTTTGGTTTGCAAACTAATTGTGTAATAATTCCCTGAGATGAAATACTAGGTTTTCCTGTTTTGTTCTTTCCTATGTAGCATGAAGCTATTAATACAGTTTCTTTTTATATATTCTATTTTTATTGGTTTAATATTTACAAGTAGAATTCCTTCTTTGTTTTTTTCTTGGCTACACTAAAGATAAGATTTGAGAAATTGTATTGAATTAGCCGGTATTTCAAAATAAGTTTCTCTTTGCATTGTATTCCTAAGTGATTTTTTAAATTCTGAATTTCTGGTTTTGTCCTTATATTTATTTTAAAAAGCTAGCTTTTTCCATTGTTGTTTGAGAGAGTCATTAACTGTCATTAAGTAAATAAATGACTTCTCACTCTGGAGCTTGTTACTTGGCATTGCGTATGGAGAAAGCAGCATGAATGCAAGTCAGTGCCTGCAATTTGCAGCATTTGCTGTTATGACTTTCTGTTTGTGGTTCATATGTGAAAGTATGATTTTTTTCCTCTCTCCATGGCATCTTCGTACATTTGGCATAGCGTTCACGTGAGTTCTTATTCTAATGAGCACTCTCTTTGAGATGCCACTGCCCAACCATGACATCCCAGAATGAGTTTCTTGTCTGCTGTATATCCTGTATTTGTCAGACTATCCTCACTATATCCCTCAGACTGGAAGAGAAATCCATTTAGCCATTTTTCCATGACACAGTCAGTGACTGGCAAACATATACTAATTTGGTGTCCTACATGTATGCTGTCCATTGCTTGTTTGACCTTTATAAAAATTTGGATTTTCTTTACAAAGCACTTATTGAGGATATTGTATGTGTGCATTTCTATTTAAGAACTATGGAATATTTGAAATGAAGAAATGTATCTTGCCTTCACCTAATACACAGTGAGGTAAGGGTCCAAACAAAGATCATTGTTATTCCAGTAGATCGTCAACTTTTGAAAATTAGACTTCATTACTTTATTCTGTTTTGGAATTTATGAAAAGTGAAACCAGCTGAAGATTTCTTGCTTAGCCAATCATTCTTTATAAAGTAAAATGATACTGTCAACGAGATTGTACAGAATAGTCAGTCTTCTTGAAAAGAGACTTACAGAACTCATTTAAATTATGAGGGTGCATTTACGTATAAAGGAATGATACACCAGTAATAGTTGTTTACTTATTTAAAACTTTCAGAAAAGACTTCTGTTGCAAATGGGAATAAAGCTTAAGCTACATGCAGTCAGGGACAGCATTGTTTACTACAACATCTGGAACATAGAAGGCATTCAGTAAATATAGAATGAGTTGATTCCTTGAAAATTAAAAGTATATTTATTTTAAAGATTTTATTTATTTGAGAGAGTGAGAGTGATCGCGTGTGCACGTGTGTGCCCGTGCACTAGCAGGGAGAGGGACAAAGGGGGAGGGAAAAGGAGAGAGAGAATCTCTCCAGCAGACTCTGCTGAGCAGGGAGCCCAACGTGGGGCTCAGTCTCGTGACCCTGAGATCATGATCTGAGCTGAAACCAAGAGTCAGACGCTCAACCAACTGAGCTACCCAACAGCCCCCCAAAATATATTTATTTTAAAATAGTCTTACGTAATTCAGGATTTCACTCTCTAAATTAGAATGATGATATCTCAAAATCTGACACCTCAGCTAAGACCAAGACTTTGCTGTGTTATTAACTGAAACAGAATTTTATTTGGATTTTCTTTCCTCTACCACTAGTTCCTTCTAAGAGTGACATTTTTGTTTGCTAGCTTGCTTTGGAGAATCTGCATTTTTTCAAGTCCTCTAATGTAGAACTTAAGTTGCCTTGGTCAGACTTAGCACGTGGTCCTTGTATGGCACAGCTGCGAGGAAAGTGTCGTGTTTGTGGCTTAGGCGGGACTGTCTTTACTGTCTTTTCCAGATACCTGTATATATGTGCATGCATAGACATACACACAAGAATTATGTGCACACATGCGGGTTTGTTTTAATGAAAATGCTGCCGTACTATTTATAATGTTCTGTATATTGATTTGTAGCTTATTTTTATTGGTGTATATAGGACTCTTAAATTGAGAGTTACAAAGTAAGGTCATATAAAAATTCCTGAAATCCTCTAATTCAATATTATTGTGAATAAGTTAGCCCCTAGGTGGAAGGAGATGGGAAAAACGATGCTAAATAGTGTAACAGAGATAAGTATACCTACTACTTGGTGATTGGATATAAAATCTGTATTTCAGCTGCTTTTCTCACCTATTCAGTCTAAATATTCCTGGGAACTACAATTGTTGTTTGGATATATAAATTATATATACAAAATTTTTTATGTTTTGCTAGTGGTTTTCTTGCTTTAAATTAACCTCTGAATTGGAAGTGTAAAAATAAAAGGTCATTTCCTCCTTTGAGCAAGCTGAATGTTGAGGAAATTTTGTTAATAGAATTACACAGAGAAATTTTTGGTTATATCACTACTTACATCAAATGTTCTAAAATGTTTAGTAAAATGACTTATTTACTTGTGAAGATACAAAGTACCACAGGCAAAATAGCTGCATGTGTTTGTGGTTTCACAGGAAATCAGTTGCCAACACACAGACTTGCTGAGCCTCGACCCAGCTTCTGTCAGTGCTGGCTGCCTGGCCAGTCTACAGCAGCCTGTAGGCGTCCGCCTTCTCGAGGAGGCCCTGCTCCACCTGGTGCCTCAAGAGCCACCTGCCAAGAGGTTTCGGGGGAGGACTGTCCTCTCTCCTGATGTCGTCAGATGGATGGAACTTGCTAAGTAAGCTCTGTGATCCAGACTGTTGGGAGAACAGTGAATTTGACTGAAGTAATACAGAAAAAACTTCATTCTGGTGGAAAATGAGCAAATAAAGTTGATAGTAACACTTCTGTGAAATTTTTTGAAAAATCTCTCTGGCGAAGTACCATTCCATAAGTCAGGAATAGCTGTCACACAAGGAATGTCTTGCTTCAGGAAAGAGAACATCAATTAAACCTGTTCTCTCAGTATACAATCTTTTTGGACTCAGGGTATTATTTACCAAGTTTAGTTTCCTGTAAAGTGTGGCCATAACTTACAGTTTTATATGTTTTTACTGATTTACTAAACTGAATAGAGGATAATCCATTATTTTTAGCAGGACTCAAACTTTTAGAAACAATTTAATCCAATTACTTTGTTTATTTGGGAAAAACAAGTTCCATTTTGTCATTATGCCGTTTTGCATTATGTCTGGTCTTTTTCCTTACTTGTGGTTTTATCATAAGAAAGCCAGTGCCTAACTCTGAGAACGATGTTAGGTTGAAATTAAATTTGAACTTCTATTTTATAGTGCTGATTTTTAGATCTTCAGGTTTTAGGAAAAAAGAGTAAAGGTAAGGGTGGGGAATCTTTACACTATTTGCTGTTTTAGAATCATTCATATCTTAATTGAGCACTATATGTGAGCAATACATTGTATCAGGTGCTGAGAAGAATTAGACATGTCTCCTAGACTAACAAAACTAGCCATCCAGTAGGAAATGTATGTGCTTACATGCATAACTAACCATAGGTGAAATGGAAAGTGGTGAGTTTCTTGAGAGGCAAGATAAATACCAGGGCAGTTCAGAAGGTGCATCTTGGCTAGTACTGATTCTACCTAGTAACCATTTTTATCCTGTTGTTTCAGATATGTAAGTGAACGATCAGTAACACTGTATATTTAATATTTTCAGGGAATGAGAAACTCATCTAATGTGTATTTACTGGGTAAATGAAGTACACAACTTTTAAGGGCCTAAACTTTAAACATTTGTTTCTAACTTTATTTAATACTTCCTCATACTTTTGGGCACCTGGGTGGCTCAGTCAGTTGAATATCCAACTCTTGGTTTCGGTTCAGGTCGTGATCTTAGGGTCATGAGATCAAGCTCCACTTTGGGCTCCACACTCAGTGGGGAGTCTGCTTGGGATTCTTTCTCTCCCTCTGCTCTCTTTCTCTCTCTCTAAAATAAATAAATCTTTAAAAGAAGTACTTCCTTATACTTTTGTGTATATAATATTTTGCATTCCTGAGGCGCCTGGATGGTGCAGTCGTTAGGCGTCTGCCTTCGGCTCAGGTCATGATCCCGGGGTCCTGGGATCGAGCCCCGCGTCAGGCACCCTGCTCAGCGGGAGGCCTGCTTCTCCCTCTCCCACTCCCCCTGCTTGTGTTCTCTCTCTCACTGTGTCTCTCGCTCTCAAATAAATAAAATCCCTAAAAATATATATATATATTTTGCATTCCTTTGAAACAGAGTACTAAGAACGTAATTTTTGCCTGTTCATGATGTCATGGTCATCATTTTGACCATGTTATAGTGTGTATCATCCCAGGAACATGGGGCCAGTGCAAGGTGGATATGACACTGATCTCTTTTCTGAGTTACTGGAAAATGGTTGTAGTTTCATGTCCTCTTGGGCTTTTGGACTGTGAGCTGTTATCCTACCTCCCATCTCCCACTTACGCCTCTGATTTGTTACCCATAACCCTCTACAAACAGAGCAAAGAGAGGGCCATATCTACTAGATTTTTATCTAAATTTGGAATCCTGGGGCACCTGGGTGGCTCAATCGGTTAAGCATCTGCCTTCAGCTCAGGTCATGATCCCAGGGTCCTGGGATTGAGTCCCGCATTGGGCTCCCTGCTCAGCGTGGAGTCTGCTTCTCCCTCTCTCTCTACCCCTCCTCCCTGCTCTTGCTTTCTCTCTCACTTTCTCTCTCTCAAATAAATAAATAAAATCTTTTAAAAAATAATAAATAAATTTGGAATCCTTAGGCTCTGAGAGAGCCCTTAGGGCTTTTTCGATGTAGTAAATACATGAGATTTCATACCTGAGAAAGGACAAAACCGGTCTGGAGGAAGCAGTCCTTGCTGGCTGGCCAGGTGATTGCAGCTTCAGGAAGAGATGACATTTGTGTTGAGACTTAAAAGATGGGGGAAAAAATTCCAGGGGAAGGGAACAAACTTATTAACACTTGAGAATATCTTAGTGGGGAAGCTTGGTTGATGGGGTGAAGTAGATTTTTGTTAATGTGAAGAGAGGATTGAGTGCTCTAGCAAATAATAAGGCTGTAAGAAAATTACTTGTCAGTAGAATGGGGATGGCCCATAGCATGTGGATTAAAACATGGTCTTATTAGAACCAGGATTAATTTTTAATGTATGGTGATTAACATGACATAATTAAAAAAAAAGAACCAGGATTAATTTTTACTCACTCTGGATTCTTGACTACATTCCAAATTTTAGGTATTGACAGGATTTCAGATAGGTCACCCACTGAAATGTGCAATGTTACTATAATGGATTAACACAGAATAATCTTATTGTAATGAGGCAATTTATCCATTGTAAATTTATGATATTTTCAGATTTCACTCTACATGTACTTTAGAATAATCTCTGTCTCCTGTATGGCTAAAGTAGCAAAACCTAATAGTAACTTCACAATGTCTAAGATTTTATATTTTCATAAAACAAAAATAACATATATCCTTTTTGGCTAACATAATGTGGCCTCTTGATTTAATATTATTTTGTTAGAATAAACACTTTAAAAATATTTGCATATTCATTGATTTGGATTTTTGTTTTTTTAGACTGTATAGGTCAATTGGAGAATATGATGTCCTCCGTGGTATTTTTAGCAGTGAGATAGGAACAAAGCAAGTCACTCAGAGTGCGATATTAGCAGAAGCAAGAAGTGATTATTCTGAAGCTGCTAAGCAGTATAATGAGGTAAAATTGATCTCTAGCAAATATGTCAGTTGCTTAAACACGTTAGTTTTCTGAATGGAAAAACTTTTAGCTTTAGAATTCAGAGCTTCATAATGTTTAAACTTTATTCCTTAGTTTTTACACAAAAATTAATATCCGGGAATAGTTTCATAATAACCAAATGTGAGATAATTATTGCTTTATCTCTTACTCTCTTTAAGAGAACATCACTGAATAAAAGAGAAAGCATTTCATACCAAATACTATAAAACTATAAGATGTTATTTCAGTATCTGCTGTTATTATATAATTCTATTTGGGTAGATTGTTTTCCTTCAGTAAATAAAAACTTTATGAAGAGGTAGATAAGAATTGGTTTTGGGAAGGTGACTATAAGGTCAATTTTGTACATTTAGTGTTTTGAGTTGCCAGTGGCTATCCAGGTATAGATGTCTAACAAGTAGTTAAAATTCAGAGTCTGTGATCTGTGAGATTCTTGAATGAGCAGTCCAGGTTGTAAAGTCATCTGCAATTTTCAGTAAATGTTCTATTTTCTAATTTTCAATCTAAGAACTTTTTAAATGGTAAATAACCCACAGTATTGATTTAAATCAAATTTTGGGTCATTCAGACAGAATCTTTAGTTAATTGGCTTCATTTGTAAGTTTCTCAGAGAAATAGTTTCCTCTTGGTTTTTATGTTCATTTGTTCCCATAAATTTGTTTTGGTTTATTTTCTTCCATTCAGTGTTACTCTATTTTCCTTTTTCTCTCCCCTTGTCATAAATCTGAAAATGATTATCCTTAGCATGAATGTTAACACTACCTATAATACAGTGTTTTCATTTATATTCTTTCCAACTTTGTAAAATAAATTTATGAACTTTTCTTCATGAGGCTCTCAATAAACAAGAGTGGGTGGATGGTGAGCCTACAGAAGCTGAGAAGGATTTTTGGGAACTTGCATCCCTCGACTGTTACAACCAGCTTGCTGAGTGGAAATCATTGGCATACTGTTCTATAGTCAGCGTTGATAATGAAAACCCTCCAGATCTAAATAAAATGTGGAGTGAACCATTTTATCAGGTGGGTAGAATTATTTTTTTTTAAGATTTTTTTATTGATTTAGAGAAAGAGCACGAGCAGAAGGGGCAGAGGGAGAAGGAGAGAGAATCTGAAGCAGACTCTGCACCCAGTGTGGAGCCCAACTCAGGGCTTGATCACACGACCCCGAGACCATGACCTGAGCTAAAACCAAGAGTCAGATGCTTAACTGACTGCACCACTCAGGCATCCCCAGTAGAATTACTTTTCAGGTCACTAAGATAAATATTTTAGATGGTAAGCTGTTTTCTAATTAATGAAGTTGTTTAAAACTTTTAAAAAACAAAGTAGTACTGTGAAGTATTAGGATATTTGTATAGCCCAACTCTCCCCATGAACTCCATAATATTGTTTAAATCTCTTACCACTTTTGGCTGACCCTTTCCAAATAAATGGGATGCATTTAAAAATAAATATTAACATCCATGCTATGACTTCGTGGAAGAAAATTTCATGGTGTCTCTACCTTGAGTCACAGGCTATGCATGGGATAGCCCTGACCCCTGGAGTGGGATGGTTCCCCTCCCATGGGATCACCCAGACTCTTGGAGGGAAGCGGCTCACCTGGTTCCCACAATACAGCTGTCTTGGCTGTGGTTGTAGATTCCTCACTTGTATGTAACACCCAATGATCTTTCAGCTAAAAGTGGTTCTCATCGTCTATAGAACATATTCCCATGTATTTTGTGGTTACAAAATGAATAATTTTAAGTGAACGTGTTTTAAAAATTGTAGTTTTAGATTTGAAACATCAGACATCATCACATTAGCTCTAAATCTTGACCTAAAAAATTATACCGAAGGATATTATAAAATAATTAGGCATATTCATATTGGCTTTCTAAAGTTACAAGTAGAGTCTTCTGTTCCTTAGGAGACCTATCTACCTTACATGATCCGCAGCAAGCTGAAGTTACTGCTTCAAGGGGAGGCTGACCAGTCCTTGCTGACATTTATTGATGAAGCTGTGAACAAAGAGCTTCAGAAGGCTCTTATAGAGCTGCATTATAGTCAAGAATTGAGTCTTCTTTACATCTTACAAGATGATGTTGACAGAGCCAAATATTATATTGAAAATTGCATTCAGATTTTCATGCAGGTAATGCAGATGCACCAGTCTGAAATGTACCATTTCTATGATACTTTTAAAAGTCAGTAAACTCTTGAATAAAAAAAAAATCAACAAGCAAAAATTTTCATTTACTATTTGATACCACCCATTTCCTTCTTTTCTGTTCTTCCAGTTTCTTCTAAAATCTCTTCACTCTGTCCTTTGTTTTAATGCATTTTTAATCCTTTTTTTTTTTCTGTTTTAAAAAGTTCCATTTTTTTTGTTTTTCCTTAGGTTTTTATCTTTCTCACACTGTTAAAGAACACTTGGGGGTAGACTTTTCATCTAGATTGGCTGAATGAAAGTTTGATTGCTTTGTGAAGAACATGAACTAATTTTCCCTGTTCGTTTTTTACCATTGTGCCTTCTTTCTTTTTTGCTTTTATGAGAATCTTTGATGTTTTTAAAGTCAGTGTCTTTATAGACCCTGTTAACATTTATCATTGGCTTGTATTGATCAGAAAAGCATACCCACTCATTGTCTTTATTTTGTATTTATTTATTTATTGTTTGTTTTATTTATTTTTTTATTATGTTAGTCACCATACATTTCATCATTAGTTTTTGATGTAGTGTTCCATGATTCATTGTTTTTGTATAACACCCAGTGCTCTGTGCAGTACGTGCCCTCCTTAATACCCATCATCAGGCTAACCCAACCCCCTTCCTTCCCCTCTAAAACTCTGTTTGTTTCTCAGAGTCCATAGTCTCTCATGGTTCATCTCTCCCTCCAATTCCGCCCCCTTCATTTTTCCCTTCCTTCTCCTAATGTCCTCCATGCTATTCCTTATGTTCCACAAATAAGTGAAACCATATGATAATTGACTTTCTCTG